AGGGGCCCGGACCGGCGTAGGTCCCGGTCCCATATGCTGCGGACCGGGTGGCAGCTGGCGCCGCGGCACGCCCGTCTTCGCCGTCCCCGGCACCGGGGCCGGGGTCTGCCCTTCGCTGCAGTCCGGGTGGCCGACCCTGTCCGGCCAGCCCTGTCCTCCGCCCCCGGAGTCGGAAGCGGACGGGAGACGGCGGTCGGCGGGGGCCGCCTCCATCGAGTCCGGCTGGCTTCTCCGGAAGCGCTCCCTCCTCCTGCGTTCAAAGAGAACACTGGAAAGGAGCCGAGCCGAGCGCGGGGAAGGAGGAGAGGTGGAGGGTTCAGGGAAGATACGCTTTGTTAGCAGCGGTGGCCGTTCTCCGTAAACTTTAGGCAGCGCGCCGTACTTCGCCACTCCGGGAAGCGGGGTGGAGGGTTGCAGAACTCCCCTGCACTTGGGTTCTGAGGTTTTCCAGTTGCTACACCGCGATCTTTGGTAGCCGCTTTGGTGTCGCGTTCTGAGATAGAATGGACCGGGGAACTACGTTTTGTTCCCCCGGGAAGGGTTCACGGCCGAGCACCCCGTCGCTTGTTTCTGGATGGGCTCTAGGATAGTCTTGATCCAGGAGGGCCTGCCCGAATTCAACTGACACAACATTTGACATTTCACAACGTGGCCCAATGGTGAACTATGCCGGAATGTAGAAAGCTTGGGACATACGGCAGGGTTTCAGAATATGTTGTCACTTAACCGTCAGATTTTTAGATGCGTTCGTGCTGACATTTGTTGGAAAAGGTGAATTTTTCAGATACTCTTTCAGATTTCTCTTTTCTTGGTTCAAGTATAATTTTGATCAGATCAGTTAATAAGCTCTTCTGAACAAGATAAAATTGGGGAGAAAATGCTTAAGCTTTTGTCAGCTCTAGAAAGACGGAATTATAAATGATTTACAAAATAGAGACAATGATGGATTGATTATATTTTACAAAGTGACCTGAAATTTTGAGATTGGTATTCTTTGCAAAAGGCCAGAGTAAAACCGATCAAGAAATACTTTTACCTTTTCCTCGTGAATTTTAGTTTTACCTTTTCTTAGGAATTTTATTTGATTTGCTTAGACAGAGCAGATTATTTCCAGATCTAGAGCTTTAGAAGACATTCCTCCCTTCAGCTTGGCTTTTTGCTTGTTATTTTGGAGATGGAGTCTAGCTAACTTTTCTACCCTGTACTAGCCTTACTGTCCTCTAGGTATCAGCCTAATCAGTAGCTCGGTTTACAAGTGTGAAGCATAGTGCTTAGATTGGGGGAGAGATTTTTTTCTGTGTGTGGGTACTGGGACTTGAACTCAGCCTCTCTGGTTTAGATTTTTCTCTCAAAGCAGGCACTAACTTGTGGTAACTCAGGTATACCAATTTGAGCCACACCTCTACTTGGGCTTTCTTTAAAAGATGGTTAATTAGAGATAAGAATCATAGATTTGTCAGCCTAAACTTAATCCTCATTTCAGCCTACTGTGTAGCTAAATTACAGGTGAGAGTCATTGGTGTCAGTGCTGGCTGCATGGGGGCTGAACGCTGGGCCTGGGTGCTGTCCCTTAACTCTTCAACTCAAGGCTAACCTTCTACCACTTGAGCCACAGCGTCACTTCTGGGTTTTCTGCTTATGTGGTGCTGAGGAATCGAACCCAGGGCCTCATGCATGCAAGGCAAGCGCTCTACCACTGAGGCACCTTCTCGGCCCGGCAGCAAAATTTTTGAATGATAAGCATTATGGTATTATATTTCTCATCCTAGGACAGTGTCTTAGTATGGAAGCAGTGGAGGCTTCTTCTGAATGAAGGCTTTCTTGGAATCCTGCCAGGCCTTGTGTATAAATTTAAAGTGATGAAAAGCTTTAGTTTGTGGTAACAGCTTTCTTAGGTGAACCTGTATTGTAATTGTTGTTTTTCCTTGCCAATTAATTGGAAATAGTCTCTCCTAGCTTTGATCTTGGTCCTCAGATCTGCCTTTTTGAGTAAATGGATTTATAGGTGCGAACCACCAGGGCTGACTTTGTGTGTTTTTTAAATTAATTGTATTATAGGCTGTTGTGGGCTTGAACTCTGGGCCTGGGCACTGTCCCTCAGCTCTTTAGCTCAAGGCAAGCAAGAGCTCTACCACTTGAGCTACAGCACCACTTCTGATTTTCTGAGTGGTTTATTGGAGATAAGAGTCTGATGGCCTTTCCTGCCAGAGCTGGCTTTGAACTGTGATCCCCAGATCTCAGCCTCCTGAATAGCTGCTAGGATTACAAGCGTGAGCCACGGGGGCTCGAGTGTTTTTGTTTTTAACACTGAGGTTTAACTGAGATCTGGTGCTTGGCCAACTGGTGGTCTACTGGAGCCATGCCCCAAGTTCCTGGTGTTTCTGTTGACATTATCCTTCCAGAGCTTTAAAAAGTTCTGCCACGGTTTGGCTTCATGCAGGGAAAGCATCTGAGGCTCCATAGCCAGGGTGTGATGATGTACTTCATTCACACACACATCTGACTGAAGACTGATCTGATCCTCTCATATCTTCTTTCTAATGTAAAGCCAATTCTGCCAATTCTGATATTGATAAAACTAGTAGTATGTTGTTGATGATTTGGAATTTGATTCTTCTAAATGAACCAGAACCAGGTTAACCACTTTTTCCCCTCCACATCATTTACTGTACTTTTTCCCTTGCTTCCTAACATGTATGTATTAGACAGCTTTTTGTTGGTGACACAAATTACTTGAGAAAACAACTTAAGGGAGGCGGATTCTCCAGCCAGAATAAACAAGGCAGTCCATGATCCACTTACTTAGCTTGGTTCCTTCTGCTCTCAGGCCTAGGGGGAAAACTTGCTGCTAGAGCAAGTGGCTCACCTACTTAACTCCAGCCAGCCCCACCTTCTCATTCAGTATGAACTCATCAATGGTGAGCCCATTCATGAAGTTTCTGCCCTCATGATCCAACCACCTCTTTACGGTGTCACCAGATGGGGACCATGCCTTCAGCACATAAGCCTTTCAGGAGGACACTTCATAGCCAAAATCACAATTGTGTATCTTTTATGCATTTACACATAAGCCCTTGTTAAACTGAAGTTTATTCGTTCCTAGGGTGTGAACTTGGAGGTCAGAGGGTATGTCTTAATTTTGGAGGGGAGCTGGTGGTTCACGCCTGTAATCCTAGCCACTCAGGAGGCTGAGATCTGAGGATCGAGGTTCAAAGCCAGCTCAGGCAGGAAAGTCCATGAAACTTTTATCTCCAATAAACCACCAGAAAACCTGAAGTGGCACTGTAGCTCAAGTGGTAGAGCGCTAGCCTTGAGCTAAAGAGCTGAGGGACAGTGCTCAGGCCCAGAGTTCAAGCCCCAAGACTGACAAAAAAAATATTGCGGGGGAGAGAAGTGGCCTGGGGAGAGTGGGAGATTGGATTTAGGGCCTCATGCTTGCTAGGCAAGCATTCTACCACTTGAAGACACCCCCAGTCCTCCAGTTTTTGTAGTTGCAGAACCTCTACAGAGGTAGAGGTAGATACACAGTAGGTATAGTAGTCATAGCAGGTACTGTGATAGTTTATTGAATGAATGAGGTCCTGAGCAAACTCATTCCCAACTAGATCCTTTGATCTCTTTTCCATTTTTAAGTTCAGTTAAGTTCTACCAAAAGGATTTTCATGGACTTGAATTCTGTAAGTTAGGAGATGTTATATTAATTGGTGATGATGCCTCTTGACCTTATTAAAAGTGATACATCATCATTTCAGCATTGTATTTCCACATAGGTTATTGAGTAAAACTGTAGGTATGACTTTGTAATGTTTGCATCCACATCCTGATTTTAAATTTTGTTTACATTGATAGAAATAGCCCAAAAGGGGCTGGGAAGGTGGCTCAGTGGTAGAGTGCTTGCCTTGCATGCCTGAGGCCCTGGGTTCGATTCCTCAGCACCACATAAGAAAAAAGAAAAAAGCCAAAAGTGGTGCTGTGGCTCAAGTGGTAGAGCGCTAGCCTTGAGCTGAAATGCTGAGGGACAGCGCCCAGACCCAGAGTTCAGGCCTCACGACTGGACCTTCCCCTCCCCCCCCAAAAAAAAGAAATAGCCCAAAAGCAGTGGTTCAGACACTAAATCTGTCTCATTGTTAAGCAGCGTTTGACTGTGTTCTTAATTTTATTTATTGTCATTGTTTGTAATCCTGGAACACATTATTAATTTTAAACATTTTTTTAAATCTGTTTCTATAGCCTCAAGGAATAGGTTCTCCTAGTGTTTATCATGCGGTTATCGTCATCTTTTTGGAGTTTTTTGCTTGGGGACTGTTGACGGCGCCCACCTTAGTGGTAAGTAAGTTTAACTTACTACGGATTCTAAAATCTCTTTTTCTCCAGTTTGCATGAAAAGATGGCCTTTTTCCTTTTCATGGTTAATGTCTACCAGTACTCTCAGTTGAGAGTACTGCCTACTAGTTGGATCATTGGGTGTAATTTAGATCAGTTGCTGGGCATGTTTAAGCAAATGCCACCATTCCGTTTAAGAAAAGAAGGTTTTTTTTTTACATTGATAGGTTTAGGAGAGATGATATTGACAACCTGCATTACTTGGCATAATTATTTTGAGATTCATGTAAGTAGTTGCATTTTCCAAATAAATGTTCTATTTGTGCTAAGACTCTAAAAAGACTAATAACATTTTCCTAAGACTAGAACCTTAAAAAGATTTACTAGCCCAAACAACCGAGTTGATAGCTAATTTCTTTATTTGTGGTGATTCATGGGCTTTTCTGCCTTAGATTGTCTTTGAATCATGATCTTCAGATCTCAGCTTCCTGAGTAGCTAGGATTACAGGTGTGAGCCACTGGTACTTGGCTATTCTCTATTGTTTTTACTTAGAGATAGCATTGTATAAACCCTTTTTAATGAGCATCAATTAGTTGTATAGGGTTTTCATTTTAACATGTTTATATTTGTATACAGTGTAATGAAACTCAGCCTGGTGCTTCTTCCCAAATTAGTACCATTGTTTCAGTGTTCCATTTCATCCTTTTCATCTGTAAAGTTTGAAAATTTATCTAAATTAGTCTAGGTTGCTTTTTGATAGAATATTTGAAAATATACTTGAAGTTTTATAGGACTAAAATGTAATATGATTTTCATTTTGGTTTTTGTTCTTTAGGTATTACATGAAACCTTCCCCAAACATACGTTTCTGATGAATGGCCTAATTCAAGGAGTAAAGGTAAGATCAGTCATACATATGTGCATACTTATGTATATATAATTCTTCCAGAATTTTAGGTAAATTGATTAATCTGTTCATTTTTTATAATTAGAGTAAATTTGGGAATTACCAATTCAGTAATAAATATGATGTGACTTTAAATATAAGCAACTGTATACTTAATAAAGTTACACCCTACTTCCCATTTTAAATTAAGACTTTTTCTAGCGGTTTCAGTGCTTTAGTAAACTAATAATAAATATAGAGATTAAAGAAATAAAGAAAATGATCTTTAAAAAAACTCCATCAATATAAAATTAAATGTGCAGTAAAGTCTTTATTATACAGCTTCTTTTTTTGACAGTACTGGGGTTTGAACTGAGAGCTATGGACTTGCTAGACAGGCACAAGACACTGTATGTGTTATGGTCAGCAGCCATGACACTGGCCCTATGCAGATTCTTCACTTTTTTTTGTGTAGATCGGTTGTGGGGACTGAATTCTGGGCCTGGGCACTGTCACTCAGCTCTTCAGCTCAAGGCCCAGCTCTTGAGCTACAGCGCCACATCCAGCTTTTCTGCTTATGTGGTGCTGAGGAATGGAACCCAGGGCCTCATGCATGTGAGGCAAGCACTCTACCACTGAGCCAGCTTCCCAGCCCAGATTCTTTACTCTTGAAGACTTAACTTGGATAGCAGATTTTTACAAACAGATAATTCATCTATTAATGTAAAAACATAATTAGCATTATTGAATTACTATTCTAATTGAGAGCTATTGTAATTGAGAATTAGAGCATTTCATTTTAATATCCAGCCTGAGCCCTGTAGATAATTCTAGCCTGAGGAAATTTTAACATTATATATAGATAAGAAATCTATCTATATATGTATAAATTTCTTATCTATATATGTTATATATAGATAAGAAATGTTATCTAAAGCTTATTGATTCATTTTAAAAATAACTCCTTTAAAATTCTTCTGAGGTTCTAAAATGACTTGTATTTTCCCTGTGGATATATAACATACACTTTTTTATTTGCATCTTTTAGGGTTTGTTGTCATTCCTCAGTGCCCCACTTATTGGTGCTCTTTCTGATGTTTGGGGCCGAAAGTCCTTCTTGCTGCTAACAGTGTTTTTCACATGTGCCCCGATTCCTTTGATGAAGATCAGCCCATGGTACGTGCAAATTGAGATTACAGCAGCTAAACAGAATTTTCTATTACTATTACTGCTTTTTTTTTTTTTTTT